CCCACCTGTGGCGAGAACCAACATACGTCATTGGGACCCCGACCAACCGACCAAAAGCGCTCGACCACCTGGCCAAATGAGGTGTGTATGGAGGGAGGGGAGAGAGAAGCCTGCCCGGCAAACATCGGGGAGCCCCCAGCTGGCTGGGGGGAATCGGGGTGCGCCAATCCGCCAATGGAAAATCCCCCCCCCCCCTCCCCCCCTCCCCCCTCGCCCCGCCCCGCCCCTCCCCCCTCCCCGGCCGAACGCACACGCACACACAGAGTCCCGCCGCCTCGCGCCACCCGCGGTCGTCTACCCCCCCCCCCCCCTCCCCTACCCCCTTGCTCCCGGGAGAGCGGAGCGGGCGCGCAGCGGGTGCGCAGCGCCGGGCGGCAGCCGCGGCGGGAGGAGGAAGACGCCGACTCACGCGTCGAGGATGAAGCGAGTGGGGTCCTATTCATGGCCAGTCCGCATCGGTAAGGAGTCAGGCTCCTCGGTGTACGTGGCAAGCAGCGGGCGGGTGGGCTGTCCTCGCAGAGCTCCTTGACGCGCTTCAGAGTGGTCACCGCCTGCGGTAGATAAGGTACCCGCATCTCCCCATACCTCCCCGTATCTCCCCGCATCTCCCCATACCTCCCCGAATCTCTCCGCATATCCCCACACCTTCCCGCATCTCCCCATATCTCCCCATACCTCCATGTATCTCTCCGCATCTCCCCATATCTCCCCGAATATCTCTCCGCATCCCCCATACCCCCCCTCGCCTCCCGGCCGTCGATCAGCCGGTGGTCGTACGTCAGGGCGATGTACATCATCGGCCGGATCTTGACCTGCGGCGAGATACGGGGGAGACACGTGGAGAGATGGGGAGATGTAGGGAGGTGTAGGGAGATGTGCATCATCGGCCGGATCTTGACCTGCGGCGAGATACGGGGGAGATACGTGGAGATATGGGGAGATGTAGACCTCCCCGTTGACCGCCATCGGGCGCTGGAAGGTGGCGTGGATGCCCAGCACTGCCGACTGGGGCACGTTGATGATC